CGCCGGCCAACACGTCTTATCTGGGCGGGGGGGGGGGGGGGGGCACAAGCCCCTCTGCACCAACCTGCCCACTGAGGTGCTTAATTATTCACACGGTGTTCGTAGATTTCGGGGGCAGCGGGTAGATACATCGGGAGGGAGAAAAAAAAAAAAAACGGTGGTTTTCTACAGTGGCATCTCTGACAGCTGGACTCGGAACGCTGGAGGAGAATGAAAAGGACGGGAGCAGATAGAGAGAGCAGGAGAAGGAGAGAGAGAGAGAGGGGGGGAGAGGGGGATGGAACTGGGTCACCCTGTGTGCGAGACGGGGTCCCCAAGGAGCACAGGCCGGCCGGCCAGTGGGGCCCATCGGTGCTCACAGGGTACCACGCCCCCCGCCCGGATACTACCATCACCCATGCTGCAGCGAGAAAGGCAGGGGAGGGGGCTGTTATCCTGAAGGTTGATTCGGAACGACATTTCTTTTTTTACGTGTTTTATGACAAAGAGGGCAGCAGGGGGAGTGAATATCAATATTCATGCTGCCCAGAGGTCCGACGGGAACCGGCAAAACAGCAGCCAGTGAGGCGGCATCGGCAGGCCGGCTACATGCCAGCTATTACACCGGCCGTGACATCGGCACCGGCGTCAGGGCTACGGCCACGGCGGCTGCACGGCTCCGGAAACGACTGCGGGGAAAACCTCCAGACGCACGACCGCAGAGGACTTGAACGTGGGAAGCATCCACATTTGAGGAACGTCCTGTATGTGCAGCCAGCATGCGACGGAGCCTACAGCGCGGGGATGCGGATATGCTAATTCTCCTGCGGGACTCTCGCTCCGGCCACCACCGTCTCACTCCTCCTGACAGAGCCGGGCTCTTCCCTGGCGCCCGCTTACGGCATGTCCTCCCGAGTTAGCCGGGAAAACCTGGTGATTTGTGGGGCTGCCAGACTCACGACTGACAGTCATTTATTACCTACAATTTGCGACGGGCCGTTTAGCGTTGGTACGTAAGACCGCACAGATTTTAGCCTGCATTTTGCCAGGTCACGACCAAAAACAGAAAGCGGGGAGGAAGAGAGGTTGACTTATGTAAATGAGGCTTTCTGTGATTGGACAATGGTGAAAAGCATCACACCCCACCCACTGCGTCTCCATCTATGGAATACTATGAGGGCTTTAGTCAGGACTGGTTAAACACACTAACTATCAGGGGATTGCAAAGTTAAAGCATATCAGGCATCAAACTGCGGTCTCCACTGAAATACGTCTCAGGAACACAAGACACACTGCAACAAAAAAACAAAAAGCATACACCGTGCATTCTGGGCGTTTACGCAGACTAGGCTGCATCCCAATAACGAGGGTCTAGGGTCCTGCCCTGCTCATGGCAGAGTGCACATTTTACTGGGACACGCCACAGTCACCTTTGACTCTCTGTCATCGCCTTACCGATCGGCTGCCGGCTGAATTAGCCGTTACCCGACTGCACCCCCCCAAAGTTTCAGCCAGCATTCGTTATCGCTCGAGCCAGCACCCCTACAACCTTCACCACAGTGGCGCTCATGAGGTTGCCGATAAACAAACATGAGCTAATGGAGAGGAACTGATGGTTATCCGGTATATAGGAGCAAACAGCCAGTTTCACGGGGCGGCCGTGACTGGAAGCCTCCTTCTGGGGCCCCAATATACACCCCCCAACTCTGGGCACCCATTTTCTGGGGACGGTCTTTGGCTCTTGGCTCAGACCAACACCTGGCACCTCTTTTCGTGGAAGATCTGCCACCCCCTTGCGTAAAAATTAACCTTAATTTACTAGGCATTAGGCCCTCCTCCCTCACGGCAGAGTGCCTTGATGATGGGGGAGGGGCTCAATGGCGCGGTGTATTAATATCCCGTCCCTTCTGGGTGACCTACATATTATTCTCCCCCCCCTTCGCCACTTTCCTTAAATGTTTCATTCCCGGCGCAAAGACAGAGGTCTTGTCGACATGGCTGTGCTTTATATTTTTGCATGGGTAGCTGTAACAGGACTCTGAGACTCCGCCCCCCCAGCAGCTGCGTGGGTTCGAATCAGCTTGAAGACAATCTGCCGCTCAAATAAGAGCTGCTTTCTGGACCTCACCACTCCTGGCGTCTTCCAACCCAGGGCATACGGTACCTATAAAAGCACGGCTTGCATGTGCGATTGACCTCGGAATGGTGTCACAGAGCCTGAACGTACGGTGCTAAAACAGGCCCGGTTCATGTCGGAGCTGCTCGATCCCTCGCGTACAGTTCCCGAGACTGACATCGAACCTGGCTATCCATCTTCATGTGCAAATTATGCTGTCAGTCACTCATGTTGGCTACAGCAATGTTTCCCAACCCCGGACTGTCCACATTTTTGCTCCCTCGCAGCTCCCAGCCAATCAGAAACACCGAATATCTGGTACAGGTGCGCTGGGAGCTGAGAGGAAGCAAAAACGTGGACTGTCCTCCCCTTACCGTACTGAACTGTGCCGGAGTGCGGCACCCTTCGCCTTCTATAGACACTTTTCTGGATTCAAATTGAGCCAAACTAGGTTTTAGTAAATCTGAATAAACTGGGGGATGCGCACGCTGGAAGCAGTTAAGGGCTGGACTGAACCACAGAGTCGTTACCACAGAAACAGGCCGGGCCCCCGGGACACATTTTTACGGACTTAGCCACGACCACAAGAGAGATTTGCTCCACGGCACTGATATCCTTTTAATAGCTTCATGGCGGCGACCTCTGCTGGCCCGTTCACTGGGCAATCACTGCCAAGCTGGCCCTCTGGCTTGCAATGCACCTCAGTCCCTCTCTGCCTTATTGGTTTGTTCATTATTTGGCAGTAAATACGTGACACATCAGGAAATATCTTCTGGGACGGACCTCAAGGCTTGGGCCCCTGATCCCTGGCCTCCCCGCTCCGCCACTGCCCCCATAGAACACCCAGTTCCTTGGACGGGCAACCTCAGACACGTCAACTGGCTTTTCTGACATACTGACAAATGCTGACGGCAGGTGGCCAGTGACAGCGTGGCTGAAATCGCAACACCCAACAAGCACAGCGCTGCCGAATTGGGAGATATGCGCGGTGGCACTACTAGGATGATTAAACGATCGCAGAGGTTTAGCGAGAATCAGAACTTATACCAAACGGAGGATCCCTAATAAGCCAGCGCCTGCTGAACAAGCAGTTAACCCATCTGCAGCAAGGAACGCGCAATAAATAACTGCTTTGTTAAATACATGAATAACATGAGAATTAATAACCGCTTGTCTGCTTGTAGATAAAGCGGAGTTCTGCTCCTAACGTCATCTGTTCTGTATAGCCCCCGGGGGCCACTAGCCCGCTGGGCGGCTGTAAATCACATTTATCTCCACGATCTACCATTATTGCTGCACTAAAGAAATTGCTGAATGCCCTGATTTTGAAGGGGGGGGTCAAAAGTAAAATTTACCTCTTTTGAGGTTTTGGCATAAAGTAGCACACCGCAGTGCTGCAAAGGTATGACATAAAGCCTAAAACGTGCCCTTGAAAGGGGCAACCTATGTGCCCCCCCCACCCCACCCCAGACAAAGCAGAGCACCAGCCGAGAGCTGGCATTCCAGAGCAGAGACAGGACCCCAAAGCAAAGTATAGCTCATCCATTGGGCTATTGCCACCGTTTGGTCCGCGCCATGTAATGAGATGTACAGCTTCGGATTGGGTGTCGTAGCCCCTGGTTTGTTTCTGCTTGTCCTTTGATTGGTGTCCTGGACGAACCCCAAATTCCTGTCGGAAAACATGCCAGACTGGAAGGAGATGTTTAAATTAGGTGCCCGTGCTTGCTTTCCTGACTTGTTCTGCAAACGGGATAAACAGGAATTTAGCCAGTAAAGCAGGAGCGCACCACTTCAGAGCGTGGTGACACAGTACTACAGTGCAATCAGACGGACTTAAAAAGTTGTCATGTGATCAGCACCACTATCATCAAGTCCGACTTCCCGTAACTAGGCGATTTGGGTACATGTGCTAATTACTAGACCGGAGATTCTGGGAACCGAACCTAAATCAAATTCGTCAGGTTTGCCAGCTTATATACACTTTGCACCACCTCTCTAAAATGCAGACATTCGCAGTGGAGAAATTACTTAAAGGCGAGGCATAAATCCAACACAACAGCCTGCGGGCGGGCCTTTTGAAGGCAGGAGAGGGGGTTAGGCTCCCCCGCAGAGAGACAACGCAACACAACGGGCACATTCAGCAGGTGCTTAGCTAGAGATCAGAGAGCTGCTTGGGGCCCCTGCAGGAAGGAGACCGAGAGGCTTTAGAAACCACGGGACCACACAACAGACACGGGACCTATGTTGGCCAGCACCCCCACCGTGGATAAGACCCCAGACCAACACAGCTCCAGATGAGTTGAGCTTAACAAGCATTCACATCTGGCGTGGTCAACCAGAGCAAGGCAGTGTTTCTAAGGTCAACAAACCGTCTAACAATCATACTGAGAATTGACATAAAATTGAAAATTTGTCACAGACAGACCCAGATTTCAATG